TTTTTGTTGACCTTTGTCCATGGAAGGTCCCTGCAAAATTTCATTGAAATTGGTTCAGGGGTTTTGGAGAAGAAGTCGAAAATGTAAATTGTTTACGGACGCACGACGGACGACGACGGACAAAAGGCGATCGCAATAGGTCACTTGAGACTTTGCCTCAGGTGACCTAAAAATGTATCGCAATATTACCCTGCTGTGATCACAGCAATTTAGCAATATTTTGATGTCAAATTTCTGCCCATGATAAAGAGGTCTAAATAGCTTTACTGTTTTTAACAACTTCATGTCCCTTATTTCATTAAGATATAAAGAAAATATGTAGTTCTTTGGATAGTCACATGTTGGCACACATTACATTTTCAGTTCCTGAGGGCAGTGTCAATGATTGCGTGTACAGGTCGATGTTTGGCACAAGAGATCACCAGAATAGAATTCAACAACTGGGTGACAATACAGGAACAGGGGTAAGCTCTTCAGTGTAGTAGGTACAAAATTGAGATTCAGGAGCCGACATCTTGAGAGAGAAAAAAGTGGGCCTTTCTTTTCATATGGAAAAAACATCTTTAAACTTTTCATATGGAAAACCATCTCTAAACTTTTCATATGGAAAACCATCTCTAAACATTTCATATGGAAAACCATCTCTAAACTTTTCATATGGAAAACCATCTCTAAACATTTCATATGGAAAACCATCTCTAATCATTTGGGAAACTACATTGGCTTTTCTGATAACATCTGTGTGTATGAAGCGTTTCCTATAGCTTTCTCTCCTTAGCTGATATTGAAAACTATATATCACAAAGAGCATTGCAATGAACTATTCTTGTGTGATCTTGCATCAGATACAGCATACTCATATGCTTAATGTTTTCCGTGTTGCTCCAACAGTCTGTCTGTGGAATTCTGGTGTGATGAAGCAAGCCGGAAAATTGACATCGATTTTGATTTGAAGCTGAAGTACCGGGACTACAGTGTGGTGCCATCTGTACGGGTGGATATTGGCAATTTCAGGTATGTAGATCCATCCTGTAGGTCTGAGGAGTCAGTTTAATTATAGTAACAAATTGTCTTAGACTGCATAACTAACTAGCAGAGTTTGAGAAATCATTTATGGTTCCAAACACTGCTAAACCCAGGTTTTACAACTTGTTTCATCTTTTAGAACTTGTTTCATCCAATAAATCTCCTGTAGCTATGAAAAAGGGCCTTTCTTAATCAGACGACATCATGGGCATTTACAAAAAAAAATGCAGTAGAATTTGTATGGACAAAATGTTCATTAATAATGGTTTGCTACCCCTTACTTTACAGACCTGAAGATGTGGTGAAGCAGCTGAGTGCCGTTCCAGATGTGGGATTTAGATACTTCGAGAGGCTGTGTCAAGCCATTAACCTTAACGACATGACAGTTATCCCAGAGTTAGATCGCTGTTCATGACACATGGACATCGTCACCTGTGCTTAGAAGGATGTTCAAAACTGGACAGTCAATAGCTATACAGTCATCTGTTTTTGTGGATACTGAATTTCAGGCAGCACTTTTTCATTGTCTTCATAACTTTTCTTGTATATTTTATTCTCATTATAGAATCCCCATACAAATATATAATTCATCCTTCCAAATTTTTACCATAGTTTTAAAATCAACAAAATGCAGATACAATCACTTAAATGTCCAGGCAAAAAAGCTCTGATGGTAATCATTATTCAAAGTCCATCAAGTGATAAAAATCTTAATACTGTACTATGTGAAACTCCTGTGTTGTATTGGTATTCATGAATCATGTCATCAAACAAGTATCCTGTAAAAGTCATTATCACAAAATGTGATCCAAGCAAAAATGAAGACATTTACAGTGTACATGTATATATTCAATATGTTGGTATATTAATATTCAAAACCACAAAAGAAAGTGTTAAACAGTTGTTTCACATTATACAGTACTTCGAAAATCGAAAGGAAAAAAAACATGTTTGTTTGCCGAATTTAAATTTACTATTGAAATCACTTGTATACAGTATACAAACATTTAATACATTTGATCCTCTATAGTATAACTCGAAACTGGGTCTGTGAACTCCAGATTTTTAACTACTTAATAACAATGTATAACAGCGTAAGAATTTGAATGCTGCAAAAGAAAGATGTTCCCTATCTGTAAAATGGCTGAATATTAAAAGCATGAAGCTTAAAACATTTAATTGAATATTTTTGTAAAGATTATATCCGATTATCTTTGCAAATATTTTGGTATATTTTAATTTAAAATCATGTACACAACTAATCATCTGTAAATTAAATCCACAAATATGTATCTAGTGTGTTCCCTTCGTTTTTTGCAAATACTGCTACACACCGTTGATGAGGAAGGCCAGGATTCGTGCCATACAAATACATGTCTCCACCCAGCAGATCAGATTTGTTGATACATTTCCTCAAAATATACAACTCATAAAGACACTGTTTTCATTTAAAAACACATCTATAAATTCACATTTGTTTTGAATAGTGAAATCTGTATCTGCACCATTCCATCTGGTTGGATCAGTGTTGTTCGTTTATGAACATGTGTAATTGCCTACATTAACACTCAACTCAAGACAGGCCTAGTGGATTAACACCTACAGGTCTGCCAGGCAAAGTAGACAAACCAGTCTTATCAACGAAAAATTCCCATGAAACATAAAGACAACATTGTATCATTAAATATAGATTGTAAAATATTATGATCAGTATTTTCTAGGTAATATACCACAAAATGTAAAGAAACTTGTCTGCTTTCCTAAATCTAATCCAAACCCTATGTTGGTCCTCATTCAAAACATGAATATAGTATGTTTCAATCTCTCTTGACATGAATTAATTCTTTACCTCCTACATACATACTTCATACATGGTTACAAATGTAACTTTGGTCATACAGATCTCTTCAACCACTGCATGCGTCATAACAGATGTAACTTGGGTCACAATGATGTCTCCATGACCACCGACATTTATACTTCATGCATACTGACATTTAACTTGGTCACACTGATGTGTACTCCATGACTGCTGACAAGTATACTTCACTATTAAGTTATTAACTTTGGTCACACTGATGTGTACTCCATGCCTGCTGACAAGTATACTTCACTATTAAGTTATACTTACTAGTAAGGACAGTTAACTTTGGTCACACTGATGTGTACTCCATGACTGCTGACAAGTATACTTCACTTTTAAGTTATACTTTAAGACAGTTAACTTTGGTCACACTGATGTGTACTCCATGACTGCTGACAAGTATACTTCACTATTAAGTTATACTTACTAGTAAGGACAGTTAGCTTTGGTCACACTGATGTGTACTCCATGACTGCTGACAAGTATACTTCACTATGAAGTTATTAATTTTGGTACTCCATGACTGCTGACAAGTATACTTCACTATTAAGTTATACTTAAAGACAGTTAACTTTGGTCACACTGATGTGTACTCCATGACAGCTGACAAGTATACTTCACTTTTAAGTTATACTGCATATACACTTCATACATGACATAACTAGTCACACTGATGTATGCTCCTTAACTGTTGACATGTATACTTTAAACATGCTGACAGAGGTAACTTTGGTCGTAGAGATGTGTTCTCCTTAACCACTGAATTTATACTTAATATATACTGACATGTATCTTTGGTCACACACTGATGTGTACCCCTAAACTGCTGACATGTTTACTCCATACATACTGACAGAGGTAACTTTGGGTCACATACTGACATGTATTCCTCATCTGCTGACATATACACTTCATACATACTGACAGAGGTAAGTTTTGGTCCAATGATGTGTGCTCCTAAACCGTTTGACATGTCCACTTTATATATGCTGACAGAGGTAACTTTGGTCACTCTAATGTGTACTCAAACTTCATACATACTGATACAATATGTGACATTGGTCACACTGATGTGTACTCCTTAACCCTAGCTTGCATACTTCATACATATCCCAATGACTGCTGAGTTGGAAGATGTACCTTTGATAACACAGATCTGTACTCCTTAGACGCTGTGTGTATACCTCATAGATCCTGGCAGATGAATAATTGCTTAAAGAATGTCACATTTACACCACAATTACATTTAAAACACATGAATGATAACATTTAATTATAACTATTATCCCTTGGTAGATATCATAACTACATCTTCACAAACATTGAAGGTGTCATGTTGGTCCTCCCTAATTTACATCACTATGGCGACATGGAGGTGGGGCGAGATGATCATTGACAGGGATTTACCTGAAAAAATAATAATCAGGTAGGTTAATTCACAAACATCCATCTCTTCTCTTATTCATTAATACATGTTTATATATTTTGTTTTAATCAGCATTTATTTGACATTCAACATTTCCATCAGCTGCTCATAGGTTGCTAACTTCTAATGTTATGAAATATAGTTGTATTAGAAATATTAACCTTTGAATACAGATTCGTTGGACAATACATTAACATGTCTTTGAGAGGACTGTGGAATGAACAGCTGGCGTCGAAGTGAAGAGCATTCTTTATGACCAGGCTTCCATTCTTGTCTGAAAAAGTAAATGAGAAATAACTTGCACCATACTCATTTGCATTAACACCGCAGAACCAGTCCACGGATACAGTTGTATCCCTGGGCCATATAGATTCAAAATTGTATAAAGAAAGCATGTGCATATACCGGTATCACCAAAAAGATCTGGATGGAGATTGACCTGGGAAAATTGGTCATGTCTGGACAAATTTAAAACACTGACTATAGCCAGTTGGCAGTATATCTTCATCAAAACATTAATGCACATATATATGACAATGTAATAAAAGTGTACTACACAAGAGAGAGGCATTTTGAGGCCTGTCTACTAGGTTGACCCATTTCTCATCAAGAGTTTGTTAATATCACAATATATCCATGCCAGCTGGACTATTTCTGAAGACAAAAGTTTGCTGTTAATTTGACCTTTGACCTGGAGGTGAAGGTCACATGAATATTAATCAAACATAATTTTAAATTTGATATGGAAGAATATAGTTATGACTGGTGATGAATGTTAAATTGTAGGTTTAAACAAGAGGTAAGGAGCTACAAAGTTTCAATATATTCAGTCCAATGGGAAACAGTTCCCACAAGACGATAGAGTTACCTTCTGATATGCATTTCATCAACTTCTGTCAGACCATCCACACTTAGTGTGTCAAATCCTCCTGAAAATGGAAAAATAATTTGTTCAGTTATACAGCCTAGCACCCTCATGGGTAAGGTTGACATTTAATATTGTTATCCATGTGGGTTCTTAGGAACACAATCTAGCAATACACAGCCCAACATTGTCATAAATGATATACTATACACAGCCCAGCATTGTCATAAATGATATACAATACACAGCCCAGCATTGTCATAAATGATAAACAATACACAGCCCAGCATTGTTATAAATGATATACAATACACAGCCCAGCATTGTTATAAATGATATACAATACACAGCCCAGCTTCTTAGTAATATATTGTATTATTATTATGAGAATGAAATATACAAAAGACATCCAGCTTTCTAGTAATATACAGCCCAGCATTATCATGAGAATGAAATACAAAAGACATTCCGCTTTCTAGTAATATACAGCCCAGCATTATCATGAGAATGAAATACAATAGACATCCAGCTTTCTAGTAATATACAGCCCAGCATTATCATCAGAATGAAATACAAAAGACATCCAGCTTTCTAGTAATATATAGACCAGCATTATCATGAGAATGAAATACAAAAGACATTCCGCTTTCTAGTAATATACAGCCCAGCATTATCATCAGAATGAAATACAAAAGACATCCAGCTTTCTAGTAATATATAGACCAGCATTATCATGAGAATGAAATACAAAAGACATCAAGCTTTCTAGAAATATATGCCCAGCATTATCATGAGAATGAAATACAAAAGACATCAAGCTTTCTAGTAATATATGCCCAGCATTATCATGAGAATGAAATACAAAAGACATCCAGCTTTCTAGTAATATACAGCCCAGCATTATCATCAGAATGAAATACAAAAGACATCCAGCTTTCTAGTAACGATAAAGACATACCATTTTCTAACAATACAGAACCTTATAATAGTAGATGTAATACTACCAATTCAAGCACTATCATGAAAACGACAGATATACAGAACCTGCATCAATAAACCATACTTGAAATGTAAAGTTTTCAAATAAGTAACAATAATCTAGAACTTTCCAGATAGTGGGTATCTACCGAACTTTTAACTATCAGCCCTTCTATGTATATTTCACCGGCGTAAAAGAAATACCTGTCAATTCCCAACTTCAGTTTTGATTACAGGTTTAGGCTGGTTTTATTATACAGCAGTGCATATGAATACACATATTGATAGATATTTGTTTTTGTAAATTGTCCTTGGCCTGTGAAATCTTGAAGTTTTAACATCTAACTTGCATAAAAATAAATCTTGCCACCACTCCCCTTTAACCGTTCCCCCTTATGTATCCATGGGAACGATGCTTACCTGTGATTAAACTCCAGCTGAAGCAGAAGCTTGTCTGGTATAGCTTGACAGCTTGTCTGGAAAAAACAAAAGAAAGACTGAACATGATAACTACATTCATTTAAATGCTTCCAATTAAAAATGAAGTTTGTTAATATATGACAAAACTGCCCGGACTCTGACAAAACTTTATAATTAACAAGAAATCCCAAGGGGATCTTGGCGCAGACCATCTTTAGATCTCCATTAGTTCCATGAGTGTTCTATTTACTTACCCATAAAAAACCCACCTTAGTTCATATGCATTCGATCAATTCTTCTTTACATAAATTTTTCTTAGTTTTCAGTCAGTTGTCTTCATATTTGACTGTAAAACAGTGTCATAGAAGCATATGTTTTGTACAAAGACAGCATTTGAGTATGAATAATGATAAATGTTAAACTCTGCAAAAATATTAAGTCGTTTACTTGGCTTTGGTGGCAAACTTGATATCATATCAAGCTCAAAATGTGGCATCCATAACTAGGACCAATACTGAACATATCCATTAAAATCATTGAAGATCCCCTTACTAGTGCTTGAGAAATAGTTGCAACAAACTTCAATTGTCAAAATTCTAAAATGGCCACTGGCAACTGTCTTGAATACCTGTTCAAGCTCAAAATGTGTCATGAACAAGTAAGACCTTTTACTGAACTGATCTTATGAAATTTCATGAAGATCCCTTCTATGGTAATTTTGAAATAGCGAAAACAAAACTTTCATTTTCAAACTTCAATATCTGAACAAGATTAAAATGCAGCATGCACATCTAGGCCTAATACTGAACATGTCCCCAAAATTTCCTGAATACCCTTTATTGTAATTCTTGTACTAGTTTTTAAGTTCTATAATCAAAATACAAAATGGTCGATGATGGCCGTCTTGAATATTTAATCAAACTCAAAATGTAGCATGCACAACTACGACAATACTTAATTCTTGAAGATCCCTAGAAGTTCTTGATAATAATGATTTGTTTAGGGGTGGATGGACTGACGGAATGATGGACGACCACAGACAAAAAATGATTTGAAAAGCTCACTATCTGATAATGGTGGGATGTGGTACTGAAAAGATTACAAAATGAGGTATTAATAGTGAAATAATACTGAATGTTCAATTAACAATAGTGCTACAGTTCTTTTAATCCAAAAGAAAGTGGAAGACGCCAAGTAGTGCTATTATCATCATCATTTTCTTATTGTTCTTGTACAGATAGGATCCATAAGTTACGGTCATCACCAGTAAAAAGAGACTAATTTCAGGATTTTTTTTATATGAAAGATCAGTTTGGCTACAGAAAGTAAAATTTGGTAACTTCTATTGAATAAACATGAAACTGGACTTGCCTCCTTTTCTTTTTTGGGTTGTCTGTTTCCTCTCTGGCATGAATGAGGACAAACACTTTGCCAATGACAGCATTAGTGTCCGGACAAACCTGGACAAACATCAACATCACACAGATTAGTGTATTTACAAACATCATCCCCACACAGATTGATGCTGTGAACAAACATCAACCCCACACAGATTGAAGTTGTTAACAAACATCAATCCACACATATTAAAGGTACTGGCAAACATCATCTTTACACTGGTTGAATGTAAAAAAATACAAAAGTCACATGTACACCTAAAACCAGGTACTGTATATACCTGTTAAGAAACTTTGTGTTGTTATTTGAATTCTCAATATGAAATTTGTGAACTGCCAATGTAAGAATATACAAGAATATTTTTGTGAGATACATATGACATGAGTTCATTGTAGTAAAAGCAAAACAATAAGATTGTCATGTCAATATCAAGCAAACTGTTATTGACCTTATGGATGATGGCTCAGGACATCATCATTTAACAGGTAATAAAATGTGTTTTTATTGAAATTGTAATGAAATTTCAAAGATAGGTGGACAGCTTTAATGCACTACATAATGAAGAACTTTCACAGAGTAAAATTACCCTTAATATTTTATTAGCTAGACTGAGTAACCTCTATTCCGTACAGCCTTGCAAATATATCATTTTCGTTGTACAGAACAGTTACACAAGGTAACAATGTTTAGAAATTTGTTTAATTCAAATTATTGTTGAGGGATATAAGATGGTCTCACATCGAGTATTTGGAGGTCGTAGTTGGTGAAGGCCACGTATCGGTGTCCCCAGCTGGCAGTGTGACCGATGATTTCTTCAAGGTAGTGTTCTACATCAAATGTCATCTGTGTGATTCGCAGACCCTCCTACAGCACAGTGTACAGTGAAAAGGGTCAGTAAATATAAACAATCATTGATCTGCAGGCCCTCCTACAGGAGTGTACAGCGGCAAGAGTGAGTAAGTATAAACAAGGTAAAATGTTGCAAGGCAATCCATAGCCCCCCCCCCCCACTAATGATTTCTATATTCAACAAACAGTAAACTTATGTCAGGATGTACCTACTGTTAGGAAAGTATCCTGATACATAATACAACATTGAAGGCATCTTTGTAATGGTAAAGTTGTTTTGTTGTCAGAGGAAGAAGTTTACTCCGTCAACACAAGATGTCCTTGTGCACCAAATCTGGTTATAATTACTCAAGGTGAAATAGAATAGAAGATATGCCCCGTAAAAAACATTTTACAAAAGTGAAGGTCAAGTCATAGGTCACGGTGACTTAATTCTTGCACTCTGCACTCCGTCATCCCAAGATGTCCTTGTACACCAAATCTAGTTCCTATTTGTGAAATAGAATAGAAGATATGCCCCGTAAAAACATTTTCACAAGTGAAGATCAATGGTCAAGTCATAGGTCATAGTGACCTCATTCTTGCACTCTGTCATCCTTGAACACAAAAGCTGGTTCCTCCAGGTGAAATAGTATAGAAGATATGCCCCAGACAAACTTTTTCAAAAGTTAAGGTCAAAGGTCAGAGAATAGGTCACAGTGGGGTCATAGTGACCTAATTCTTGCACTCTGTCATCCCAAGATGTCTTTGTACACCAAATCTTGTTACTCCAGGTGAAATAGTACAGAAGATATGTCCCAGACCAACTTATCAGACAGAAGCTGGACAGAAGGATGGACGGAGTGCAAACCTATAGTCCTCACCCCCCTCCGTGAACTGGTGGGGGACTAACAATAATTAAACGCAGGCCCTCCTTCAGCAGTGTACAGCAGCAAAAGGACAAATGGGCCTGTATTGCTCACCTGGTACTTATTCCACACCATTAACATTAAGGTGACAAAGGTCGTATATATATATATATATAAATTGGCTGGATTAAGCTGCAGGCCAAATATCAACACCCCAGGTCTTTTGGATTTTTAGAAGTTGTTTCAAGAAACTCACTGAAAGTAGGCCAAGGTCATTCATTTGAACAAGTTTTGTAGCCTGCTACTGGCCAAATATCATCACCTTGTGACTTTTGGTTATTCAGATTTTTTTAAACATTAGACCCCTGTGACCTTGAAAGTGAGTCAAAGTCATACTTTGAGAAAGGTTGTAGCCCTTCATCCCAGCTTGTTTATTTCTAATAACCTGTCACCTTTACACTTACCTGACAATGGTCTAGTGGAAGGGCTGGACACACTGGGCGGTTATCTCCAGCCACCACCTCAATGGGCAAGACACGGCGGTAAGCAAGGTCAAGGTCATCTGAAACAAGATAGACTTATATCATAGAATGATATGGCATAAACAAATAGTATCAGCATACAGTCTATATTTCCATGTTCTAAGATCACACAACTGAGCATGGAGAATTACATATTAACTCATCATCCAAATGATCAGCTATTCAACATCCAGATCTCAATGTTATACCAACTTTCTTTGGTGAGAATATCTTAAATCAAAATTCATCCCCAGAGTAATATTACCTGCATGCTTTGGCCAGAGAATTGAATTAATGAAATATTGTGAATAATCTTTAACAATATACATATATAACTTGGGAGGCACGGTAGTCCAGTGGTAGGACGCCGGGCTCGTGACCGAAGGGTTGCGGGTTCACGCCACGGCACGGCAATGTGTTGTATCTTTGAGCAAGATACTTTACTGCGCTTGTTCCAGTCTACTCAGCTGTAAATGAGTACGTGGTTGGGCAGTGCTAGAATTGTTGAATGCTAGCTGTAAGCGCCGAAATGGTAGCTGCGGCTGTATGCGCCCCATGGAGTTGAGAAAGGTATTGGCTGGTTGCAAAGGCCCTATAACCACGGATAATAATTTGTGAACCGCTTTGAGATGACCTACAAACTAGGTTGTGATAAAGCAGTATATAAGAACCTCAAATTATTATCATTATTATTATCTGGTGAAAATTTGAACTTTGACCTTGATAAATAACCTGTAAATGATCAAGGGGGCTAGTTCTCAATATACTGTCTATACACATGAAAGTTATTAATAGATATGTCATATATCTTACAGCTGGTGGAAGATATTCAACTGTTTCATGTGTGATATCAGTGGCTTTCACACAGTGTAATAAATGTCACTTTTGATGTGATATAACAAGTTCAACTTACGTATGAGTTTTTCATTGAGTCCTCCATGCAATCTTACAAATAACTGTCATGTTCTTTATGACTAGATAATTATAATTCTAGATATCCTTTTGCACTTTGCACAAAGAGAACAGCTTAATAATTACTACACATAACTTTATCTTATAAAACAACACATCTATGTAGTATTTTCTAATAACCTAATGTCTATTACAGTTTTCACATAGGACCCACAGAATATTCACAACCCACCATCTGTAGGAACAGTTGATCACAGTCTATCTTTAATACCAAGTACCCACCATCTAAAGGAACAGTTGATCACAATCTATCTTTAATACCAAGAACCAACCATCTATAAAAACAGTTGAAAACACAGAGCATTCTCAGTCTATCTAACCAAGTACCCACTGTCTGTAGGAACAGTTGAAAAACACAGATTATTCAGTCTATCTAACCAAGTACCCACTGTCTGTAGGAACAGTTGCAATCACAGAATATTCACAGTCTATCTAACCAAGTACCCACCATCTATAGGAACACAAGAGTATTCAAAGACTATCCTAGTACCTACCATCTGTAGGAACAGCCCTGTCTTGGTCCCCAGGTATATCTATCTGTGTAAATGTTCGTACCATGTAGGACACAGTTTTTGATTCATTGGTCTGAAGGTAGATACTATCTGTGCTGCGCGAGGTACCACTGCTTATGGAAGGTGACCAGAAAGACCTTTGTGATCCCACCAAGGGGGTTCCACCAGGGTTACATGTCCCGGAGAGTATTATTTTGTTATTCTGAGGGGTTCCTGTTACATTAGAGTTACTGCTACTTAATCCTACACGGTTTCCAGTAGAGGGTGTTGTGTTTCCAGGTCCCCCTGTTCGACCCCCATGTGTGACCCCAAGGACTATAGGGGCCCCACAGGCAGGGCAACACCCATCAGTCAGCACAGACATACCCCTGCCCTCCCCTACATTGGCACGAGGACTGGTGCGGGGAGTACAGTTACTAATGCTGGAATTGTCGGACTTTGGGGACATCACATTCTTAATATCTGACGTATTGTTCACTGCATTGTCCATTTTAGGTGACATCACATTCTTGTAATCAACACTTTGTTGTTGCTGATGAGTGTTTTTACTGATGCTGCGGTCCCGTCGACTTGGTCCTATGGATGGTGACTCACACGAGAAGTCAAAACAGTCAGGCGAGTTGGCATCACAAATGCCTCCATTCTTCCGTTCCAGCTCATGGCAGTCAACATGCTTGTCTACAGCACTGGCCTTTGGTGACCATCCATGGAACTCACTATTCCAATCACCACAACTCGACCTTGGAGATTTCCCCTGATGTTCACTGTACCAGTCAGACGCAGAGCTTGGCTTTGGAGAACGTCCCTGGAAATCTGAATGACCTGGACTAGGCTTTGGAGATCTTTGTTTAAAATACTCCTTTAAAGCATGTTTTTTGACATTTTCTTTTTGACTATCATCATTCTGCTCCCAGTTTTCAGAATCTTGAATTTTACACCCACATTCACAACACACTTCGGACACTGTACTCTCTGACCTCAGCAACAAAGGGCGTTCTGTTCCTGAGTTACCTCCCTTTGACTCTCCCTCTGTAGTTTCCTTCAGACACAGAACTTCGTTTGCTGCTAGGTCAGTGCTGTTACCTATAGCCACATGTAGTGCAATGATTGAGTCGCCTGTATTGACTACAGCTACACCATTAATTTTAAGTTGAGTTCTTGGTGCAAAAGGTGGAAAGGGAGGTGTAAGTTCAAACTTAGTATGGACTGAAAATCCATGTTGGAGACACCTTTTGGGAGAGGATGCTTCTTTCTTCTCTGGAACATAAGTAAAAAAGATGAACCAGGTATCTTATCATTTATAGCAACATAGAATATAATCAGATTGGAATGGTATTTTCTATAGCAATTTTTCATGTATTATTTTCATCATTTTTCTAGATTGTAAAACATTTTACATTTATATGTATATCCCATTTGATAAATAATTAACTTTAATTTAATTAAAGGTCATACATAGGATAAAAAAGGTTTCTTATTTCACAGGAAACCCAAAGACTACAAGTGCTTAGCTGTGAGAATGAGCTGATGATGCTTTTTCTTTATTCAATACTAATCTATATAACAAAATTCTATAGAATCACTAACCCCCTGCTTGGAGTTGTTGGCAGACCAGACAGCTGGCGGCCGTGGCAGGGAAGGCTGTGATAGTGAAGTAGCACTGACAACAACTGTCTGGGTCCTGGCCAGGCAAACTGTACACCCATCAACCAAACAAACATGTAGAATAATCACTTAAACACACACCGATTACATTCTTTTTTCCCCCCAAAGAACGGTGGGGACTTCCCACAGGTATTTCCCCAACTGCCCATCAGTATGCTTTATTTCACATTTAAACATGTAACACCAAGTTTGATGCAAACAGTGAATTATTTTCTGTCCAAGAATCACCATTATCTATTCAGTCATTTCAATACCTGTTTACAGATCTGACAGTTGTCTCTGATGCAGAGAATCAAACCTGCGGCTATCAGCACACTGGGGTTCAAACATCACCCACAAACTGACCGACATAAAATTATCCCAGAGCACTAGAACTGTTACATTATCAATAGATTATTTATTATATTTTTGCCAGTGAAATATCGGATTTTATTACATACTTACTAATAAATACGGGTTTTTTGTATATGCGATACGACACAATTGCTCTAACCCATATCAGCCCTCACCGTATCACACCCCAAAACCCGTATCAGCCCCCACCGTATCACACCCCAAAACCCGTATCAGCACGCAAAACCCATATCACACCCCTTTTGGAAAAAAAACGTTTTTCAATATTTCAAAAATAAAAATAAATCATAAGATAGTAGTTTTTATTAGTATGTATGTAATAAACAGAATAAAACACGTCTTTTTCCATATCACACCCAGTATCAACCCTCGACCTATATCAGCCCTCGGGCCTTCGGCCCTTGGGCTGATATTGCAGTCTCGGGTTGATACTGGGGGTGATATGGAAAAAGGCATGTATTATTCTCTATCTATCAACTTGATAAAACTGATATCTTTCACACTGTGACAAATATCGAAAGTGATATTTTCACAGTGTGAGAATATCACTTTTTGGTATTGACCAATCATAATGGTATCTTCTATTCGCTGCATTCAAAGGCAACGATTTTTTGTCAAGATTCAAATGAATTGACGGTAGAATAAGTGGTTGTTATGGTAAATATGTTTGGTACACACAATCAAGTATTTACATAAATATACAATTAATAACATTTTATAAGCTATCATACCAGATAATAGCAGAAAACGTCGGAATTGCCTTGAGAATCACGTTCAAAATGACGCGCAGCCTTGTTGTCAAGCGTGACGTCATTATGATATGACGCTAATTATTACGCTTCTGATTCCAATCCTTTTTTAATGCATTTCATGTTTAATGCTTAAAAAATGTAATAAATAGAAAATGTAATGGTGTCTTAAGAAATAACAAATATATTTCACGAGTGTGGCTAATATTTTGATAATTTTCACGAGTGCGCACAACATACCATACTCTCAGCCATCCTTGATACTCCAAGGGTTACGCTCACTTTCGCTCTCTGCACCGTTGGAATATGTCATAGCAAAATTGAAGGCATGCAGCTAGCTATTTTATTTGGTCTCAGATAAATAAAAACCTGACCAATAGCTAGATTAATACCTGTCCTTTGGAGATCACAGAGCAGCAATTTCAAAACCAGTCAATTTTATCGTAACGCTACCGCAAATTTCTTTTTATGTACATCAAAGGATCAAACTTGTCTCCTTGTATCATCCAAAAGGTGGCGCACACTGAGCCTCCGACCTTGCTGACATATTCCAGGGGTGCACACAACATAAGTGATCATAACCACTGGAGTATCAAGGATGACTCTCATCATTATATTAAATCTGATATCACAATAGAAATTAACATTTCAATTTTTAAAAATAAAACTGATAAAGCAAACGTTTTTCAAAGATCATTAGATGATCATATTATAACTTAAAACAAATAAAGAAAATTTGCATCCAAGTAAACAATGATAATTTTTAATATGTGTTTAGCAATAGAGCATTTGATATTTTTATGCATATATTGCAATCCTTACCTGTGACCAAAGACTAGAACCTTGGAGTGATCCTGAGGCCATTCACAGAACGATATAAACAGATCCTGAGTCACATCTTCTTCACCAAATAATTTCACTTCACTAACCTGAAACATATGGTTTGGATCAAAAATCAACACAAAATAAACACTGAATGTTAAGTATATACTTTTTAATAATTACCCAGCATCTTCTTTTGACTTTTAACATCCTTTCAAGTCAAGTATGGAAGAAATACATTATTTCATGCATGGAGAATAACTCAGTCCACTGGTAATTTATATTCACAAATCAGAGCAAAATTTATTTTACTCAAATTCCTTTGGGTGGTTTTCCAAGTTTCCCTATTGTCATTTACACAAGAATGAAAAGATTTTATTCATTCAATTTTTTTAAGGTTAACAAAAACAAATTAGCTGATAGAGTTTATGAAGACATGACATAGGAAGGAGCGTTGCTGTTTTCATAATAGTCACCAACCTTCAATAGTGGAGAGTTAGGGATGAACTTCCACCATTGCAATGCATAGTTGTAGGACGGAAAGCCGAGGTGTTCATCTGACATCATCTGACAGGAATAGGATACCACAAACCGTCCACACTTGGTGAACCCCAGGAACACATGGCTAGGAGGAAATCAACCATACAGTATTTTTGAGGCCTAATATTGATTCCCATTGGATACACAATTTCATATTTTGAATGCATGTAGGCAGATTTTGAAAAATCCTACTGGCTTAACCCTTTCACCACTGTAGACCATAATGATCTTATCCAGATCAATGCATGGTAGAGTCTATTAAAGTTGCATAGCATTGAAAGGGTTAACATAAACTTTCATAGCAATAATTGAATATCTTTATTAGCCGTGACAATATCTTATCTTCTACCTCAGGATGTCAAGCTATATATAGCAGAAGTGTAAGTGCATGCATTACCCATGTTTTCCCCAATTTATTTTGGAAATTTTCAAATCAAAATTTTGATACGAAAAAAAAGGACCCATTTATTTCTTCAAAATGGGTAAACTTCCTAATTTGGATGAATGCAGCACCCCATTAACAATCCAACAAAAGGCCCAAGGGCCTTAGAGGTCACCTGAGTTATATTATAGGTACTAGTAGCTCAATTTCAGTTTTTAAGATGTTACAAAATGTGGAAAACTACATGTAATGTCACCAAAGGATAAGAACTTTAAAAACTATTCAAATAAATGATTTTGCTATTGAGAATTATACCCTCTCACTAAGGGATAGCAGATGACCTGGGGGATAATGGAATTTATAATTTAGGTAATGGTAATTTAGGTAAGGACCTTTCTATCCATGAACAGTAAAACATTTGAATCTGATGAAGAAGATTTTTTTAACTGTTAATCATAATCCCCATTTGGGCCCCAACCCTCCCCTCCAGCCCCTGGGGATGGGGCATGATCTTATTTTCTCATACCATCTAATTGCTATCTGGCATCATAATCATTCTTACCAAGTTTGAATAATTTCCTGTTGAAAATTGACAAAATATANATATGACAGTGTGAAATAGGAAGATTTGAGGACAGTGTGTTATGTAATTAGAAATGGTAATCGTGAGAACAGAATTAAATAGATGTCAGATGAAAGTGAAAGAACTGAAGACAGAGTGTTGAGAACAAGGAGTTATTGTGAAACAAAATATGAATGGTGGTGTGGTTGATGAAAGGACAGGAAGCTAACTGGTCGGTCATCTAAAGAGGAATGGAGATCTGGTCAATTAGTGATAATTGAAGGTACAGGCTGGAGCCCTGGGAACCTCTATTGACCACCTGATGGCTGTCCATCTACAGTTGACCAATAGAAATGTTAGTTACCTAATTTGCATATTAGACACTTCTTAGTGGTTAGTATAAGTGAGAGACACAGAAAGATAGTGGGGGAGAAGGCAGACTGAGGTATGGAGAAGGCAGACTGAGGTACGGAGAAGGCAGACTGAGGTACGGAGAAGGCAGACTGAGGTACAGAGAGGCAGAACAGAGTCAGAGTTGGGATATGGAAAGAGAGCCAGATTAGATCAGGATTGAAAGTGAGCTAAGATAGAAGGGGCTAGCAATGGTATGCAGAAGTAGGAACTGGAAGTTGGAAACAATAAAGAAATAAACTGGAAACGGACTTGAGTACTAATTCCCCAGACCGACATCGGTCAAACATGCACAGAAATTGACTGTAGTAGCTCTGAGTCTGAAGAAGAAGATTTTTGAAATATTGGTTAATTTTCCCTTTGGGGCCCTACCCTGGCCCCTAGGGTTGGGGTGGGAATCCCAATTTTACAATGTTGTAGCCTCATCTACCAAGGATGATTCTGACTAAGTTTGAAAAAATTCCATCCACTGGGTCTTGAGAAGAAGTCGAAAATGTAAAAAGTTTATGCACGACGTACGGAAAGCGATCAGAATAGGTCACTTGAGCAAAGCTCAGGTGACCTAAAAATACATGTACCACAAACAAGCTGCTGAAACATGTGGCTCATGAAGTAATGTACATGTTATACTTTGTAGAAATAGTACTGACTACTGAGCTTATAAACTTCTACTGAAAGCAATCAAATTACTAGTCAATGTTAAGCATAAATCAACTAACAGATGAATTTACTGAATATGGCTACTTTGGCTAGTCATTATTTCAGTTAATTTTGAAGTTTCAAATTCACAGCCAGAGATTCATTACCATTACTCATATATATATGCTTACCCTTCCTCTAAGATGTCTTGTGAAACAAGCGATTTCAAACGGTAACAAAGTCTTGCTGGTATTCGAGAAAATATTCGTTGATGGAATGATCTTCGATGTCTTTGAAAAGCGCCAAATGTCTGAAAAGCGAAGAAAAATATGCATATCTCAGAGATAAATTTACACATTTATAAGTCATTGAAACATCCATACGTCCATCACCATAAACCTACTGTTATAAGTAAGAAACTGGGTATATGATGATGCGGAATGCATTGTATATTGCTGTGTTGCTGAAAAATTGCCCCTCAAGGCTAAATTTTTTGCTGTCTGTTTTTTACAACTACCTCATTTATATGTAGTACTAACCCTGTGCTGGGTACCAATTTTATGATAAATATTTACGAATCAGTAATACAGCTGTAGTAATACTTCACAGTTTGCTCAATCTGTTAAAACATTTCAGAAGTGTAAAATAGCAGCAAGCCTCCTTTTATTTTAATCTCAACAAAGATTCATTTTGTTTTGTACAAAGAGACATATATATATATGGAACCAAGGCTCTATTCCAGTATCATGCGCCCTGAAAATCTCTCTGGTAGGAACTAGTCAGCATATACATTGTAATACTTAATGTTTTACCTGTCGTCAGTCTTTATTAAGCATATCTGCTTCTTGACCCCCTTATACGGATCGGTTAGGTACTTTATACGGCCCTATAACCACGGATAATAATTTGTGAACCGCTTTGAGATGACCTACAAACTAGGTTGTGATAAAGCGGTATATAGGAACCTCCAATTATTATTATTATTGTTTATTCAGTGCCAGACTGCACAATTTTTGTACTATATTCCGTTACTCAAAGTATGGTTAAAATATTAACACATATTAATAGCTCTGAAAATTCCTGATTCATACCAGAACCACCATAAAATGATTGCAAGAGTGTGAACAGGCTTAGTTATCTGTATAACCCAATAATTATGCTTATTTAGCTAACAAGTCAACACCAAAAACAAGGACTAATATTGTTAGTCTCTATCGAAGCTTATTTTTGTATTCTTATCATTTTTATTATGCTCGCACACTTGATAGTGCGTTCTGGTACCCCAGACATAATTTGGTCAAGAAATACTTTGAAATATTTGCCAAATAGTTGGGTTTTTTTTTGCAAAACAGTCAGGTCATTGATTACTGATTATTGTTAAGAAGCCAATTTCAACCAATACAAAATTTCGTCAATTTGAAAACAAAGAAACAGCACTCGACCCTGTAAATAAACAATAAATAACAATTTTCAACAACAGACACGTAAAGTACATATGCACTTTTGCCTGGCTTGGTCAAATTGAATGACTCGGGCAGATTTTGATGCTAAATAGAACAACTTGCTGAAAAACAAAGCCCGATAAATAACATCTGTTTGAAAACTGAAGATGTGTATGCAATTTTACCTCTCTCAAATGCAGTTTTGCACAAATGTTTTTGTTCAATTTCGCTGTTGACGCCATTTGTTTTCATTTCGCGCTTTGGATTCGTAATCTGACTTCTTTACAACTTTGTTTTTACCATGCACAGAACCAACAGCATCAAACATAATCGAGATGTAGATGGATTTTCAGTAATAAAACCAATAACACCGTCAATTATCCGGAAATAATATTTGGAAAATTACCGTTTCCTACAGTAACAAATACTCAAATAAAACTGCAGTTGAATAACTGGTATTTTATGTAACCTTAATCATAAAGAGTTGGAATGTTTTCCGTTTGAAAGTTAGGTAAGTATTAATCATATGCGCAAATGCCGGATTCCAAGTTATCCGTTTTCGGTTTTCGATTTATTGTTCATAAACCGGAAATTGGAAAAATTGCCGGCAAAACCAAAAAAACAACATGTTCACCCCACGGGGAGCAACAACACGGTCTAGGGCATCGCCCTTCACCCCTACGCCACAGTCAACACGATCCCAAAGCAAACGAGTCTCAAATATTGGTTTTACACCGAAAGGGAGGACTTCTTTGTATGCATCCAAGTGAGTATGATATATATACCAGTTTCGGATATAACCAATATTCTTACAGATCCATTGCCAACCATACTATGAAAATATGATTTCATGTGCCTCAAACAGGTTTTCAGACATGATGATAGAATGGGAAAATACAAAGCATACAATAGAGGCCGTGTGACAGATGCGAGTCTGATGAGTCGATGACAGTGTTATGGTGTATATATTCAATTACAATGGCAAGGTGTTGAAAACCACAAAATCCATAAATCTCCACACACAAACAACACATCCTCCTCTCTCATGAAAGAGCCCCCATTACTTAATGCAACCTCACAATATCTATATTATGAAAAAAACTCACCACAGGAGCAATGCTAAAGGTTTTGAATTATGAATGTTATATGGACATATACATGTAGTTTTAAGATAAGCTAACTACACTCAGGGACAGTTTATAGAGGGGATTGGCAACTCTGCCCCAGTCAAGATTCTATAGCACGTCGCTTTTGTGTTTGTTCACCGAACCGCGAAGTCATCGAGAGCCCCTCTCGATCAGCCCGCGCCTGCGCACTAGCGTTAAAATCATGTCACCAATCTCGCCGAGATGGGAGTGTTTTGATAATGGTTAGCCCTGATTGGGACTGTGTATTAGTAGGTCTTCTTTTTATTCCAGGGACAGGGCTTTCGTTGCCACTATGTCTAGCCTTTCGGCTGTGCTGGTGGCTATTACAACAAATCACATTTCGTAAAGCACGTTCCAGTGAAAATAATGCTAATATTGACATTTTTTGACACAAAAACAGCACAAGTTATTTGTTATTTTTTGCCATAAAAATTAGTACTACATATCAAAAAACTATTCAACTTTCTATCGCTGTAAATTTCAAAATGAAGTATTTTTTAAATGAGCTGATCCTCGAATGCAGGCGATACTTTTTTGTTGGGTTTAACATTTCCGGTTGTTTACGTTTTTTAACAACACGTGTCCTTCGTTACCAGACGAGT